CCCCAAAACCCCAAAACCCCAAAACCCCAAAACCCCTTTTAAGAGATATAGCATTGAACAACTTTCTTAATCAGAGTCATCACTAGAGGAGGAAAGTGGAGGTCTTTTCCTGCTAAGAGTAGAGCTTTTGATGCTCTTCTTCACTGATCCTAACAGATGACTAGTATGAACTTACCTTTTACACTTCTCTTTGATTTTGATACAACACTTTTCATTGGGGGAGCATCATCGCTAGAATCATCGCTAAATAGGTTATAACATAGTTTTAAATGTCTTTACTCTGAGCTTGTGTCTGGTCCTATAAAATGTAAAAATGTGAATAAAAGATTTTTAATGAATGTAATAAAATTTCATTCTTTCAAGCCATATTTGATCCTTATAAAGCAATTCATAGATAAAATGTATATTTTCAGAGAAAAATCATAATTTCAAAGAATTAGTTGTTTCTCATGCATAAATTTCGAATAAAAACTGTCAAATTTGGGTGCAATAATGTCAGCCAAGAGGATTGCTGCAACTTTAGGACAAGCTGCTACAACCCCTTTACTTCTATTTCCTTCAGAATAGGTGCAAATTAGCTTGAGGCTTACTCTTTCTTGCTGCACTTGCCTTGAGCCTGCTCTTTGTAATTGCTATTAAAAATTAGGATTTTTCTCATAACAAGTATGTCATGAATAAAATTTTAACCCTGAGCCATGAAGAATATGTTATCTTACGCTTTGACTTAGTCGAGATCTTGGATTTCATGCTCTGGAGGTCACTTTTGGGTCTATACCACGGTCATAACAAGAACAACACAAAGAAAATTAGATCCATTGTAAATTAATTCCTAAACAGCTGGATTTTTGTATCATAAATTTTTGTAAATCTAAGCTTGATGGAATCCTGATGAAAATAGCAAGAAAAGAGGAGTATTCACTTACTTATTTAAGGCAGTCTTCTTAGTGAAATTACTCACTTCTCCATCACTACTGCTGTCTGAGGAGTCAATTCCAATCTTCTTCGTCGCTATCTTTGCCTTTGCTGAAAGTTAAAAGTTAGGATACATTTCTAACGACTCTAGTGGGAAATAAAAAGGAAAGATCTTAAATGGAAACCATTATGAAAAAGAAATTTCTATAAATTTAGATGTATATCTATGTTACTTACCCTTCGCAGGCTTCTTTGCTAATTTCTTAGTAGGCTTAGGTGCTGGTTTCTTAGTTGGAGCCTCTTTGCTCTCTTCTTTTTCTTCTTCTTCAGAGGAAGAATCTACATTTTGACGGATTTTATTCTGAATCTTCTTTGTAGCTGGTTTGGAGTCAGTTTTAGGCTTAGAATTTTTATTCATTTTAACAAAATCTTGAGCATGCAAGACTGGTGAACCCTCTTCATCAGAATCTGTATCATCAGGCTCTACAGATCCAAACCTTTCGATTAGTAATCCGTCCCATATTTCTTGGAATTCCTCCGCCTTCTCTGGCTCGTAAATCACAAAGGCCAGCTGCTTCATTGTTGTCTTGTGCTCAACTGCCTCCAAGAAGTCCATGATTCCTGTGAAGAAGCATCTTGCGCATCTCTCGAAAGTGAAACCTAAGATTCCACTTGACATTGGCGGAGTTGCAAACGACTCAACCATATGTCTGTTGCAGAACATCAGGATTCCGAACACCAGGTCGATCAGAGCTTGGTCGGCACCTTCATCGACATGACTCGGACACACACAGTGGATCACGTGTTTGAAAGTTGCAGAGTCTCCGGGGCCTGTAGTGACGAACTGGCCTACTTTCATGTGACCATCAGTGCCATGGACTCTCTTGGTTTCATCGTAACACTCATCGATGATTTCCTCACCACATTCTTTGACGATAGATTTACCGATGGCTCCATTGAATCCGTATCTGACCTCTGGGCCGATAGAGTTGCAAATTGCTTCTGTATTTTGTTCTGTAATGTCTCCATGAGTTACTGTTACCATGTCCCTAGAGAAATTAGAGTTCAGGGAAATAAGAATGGCCTTGAGCCTACCTAGTGATCTTATGCTTGATTGGCTCCTTCTTCTTGTTCACGATAGCTAGCTTTTGCTTTATATCCATTCTTCAAAATGAACTTAAAATATTATTAAAAACTTTAGTAATTTCTTTAAAAGGGGTTTTGGGGTTTTGGGGTTTTGGGGTTTTGGGGTTTTGGGG